CGACGATGTCCGCCCTGACCCCACCCTCCCCCTCCTCTCCCTCCTTCAACACCACCTCCCGACGCACACCAGCGTCCCCCCACGCCATCCCAATCAGCTCGGCAAAAGTGTCCCGCAGCTCGTCGTGGCGACGAATCACCAGGCCGTACCGCTTGCAGCACAGCGCATGGTCGACGGTGAGGGGCTGGTTGCAGTGGTCGCAGCGTGCAGCGAGGCCGGGGGGGTGACGGCCGTAACGCATGTTGAGGGCATCTCGAAGAGTGAGTGAGTGAGTGAGAATGACAGACATCGAGTCAGGCGGCAAGATCCGCACCACGTCCGAGGCCACCGACAGAGGCTTCGCCCACGGCCACCATGGCATGAAGCTGTCCAGCGCCGCAGCCATCGTGGCGCTCGTCGTCACTGCCGCCGTCGCAGTGGCTGCACTGGTTGTCGGCGCCGTTGCCCTGCAGAAGAGTGTCGCTCAGGAGACCGCCACCGATGGAGTGGTGAGTGGCAGATGCATTGCATGGATGGAGGGGGGGAGGGCTGTGTGTGTGTGTGTGTGTGTGTCGATGATCTTCTCTTCCTGCACGTGTGCGTGGTGTGTACTGCAGATGGTCCATATGACGGCTGGCCCTGAGGAGCAGCATCGCGTTCTCATGGCTCTCAGCATGGCCAATAGAATGGTGCGTGGGTGGCTGGGTGCTGGTCGGGACACACACACGCTGTGCTGTACACACATGTCTGTCTGTCTCGCTGTGTGTGTGTGTGCATCTACTAGGCCAACATGGGCAAGGACGTGATTGTGTTCTGTGATGTGGACTGCCCCCCACTGATGGCCAAGTCAGCAGAGGACTTCGCCGTCGAGGCCTTCGAGGGCAATGTTACGAAGGACGATCTCCTCGGCCGCCTGCTAGCCAAGGGCGTGCCCATCCACGTGTGCCCCGGCTGCCTCACCAAACACGGCCTCTCCATGGAAGACGTCAGGGACGGCGTCAACGAGGTGCTGTTGGGCGAAAGAGGGAGGCAGGGAGGGAGTGGCATCAATCCATGCATCCATGTGCATCATACACACATGTGTATGTGTTGTTTGTTCAGGTTGACGCCAATGAGTTTTTCGCATTCACTGACGGTCGCATGCTGCACTTCGACTACTAATTGGCCAGCCAGACAGCCGGCCCACCAGCAGGCGGCAGACAGACGTGACGTGACGTGTGGTGTTGTGTGTTGTGCGTTGTGGTGCGGTGCCTGGCTGCCTGCCTGCCCTCTCTCTGCGCCTTCTCTTCTAATGAGCTCTTTTTGGTGCGTGTGGGTGTGAGGGTGCATGTGGGGGTGCGTCAATCACTCGGCTCGGGGCGCGGCGCAGGGGCGAGAGTGGTAGAGTGGCGGCGCCTCAGATCAGATCATTTCTATATATGTGGCATCGATCGCCCATTTACAGAGGGGCTGTGTGTTTGGGCGATGCGTGCCGTATGCGTGTGCTCCCTTTATTATGTATGACGCATGCACGTATGGAGGCGGGCACGTGTGTGTGGCCTTCCTCCTTTTTATTATATATGTATGGGTCATGACACGACGTGTGTGTGCATGGCTGTCTGCTACGTGAGCGAACGGCGCGTGCGTCAGACTGTAAGCGTGGCGGGCAATGAGCCATATGTGGACTGATTCGTCGACGGTGTAATGGATGCATTGCTCGGTGAATGGATGGATGGTCAACGAACAGATAGAATACGTCGCTTTCACCTGCTGTGGTGAAACACTGCCGAAATTTGAAGATTCGATGAGTGATCGGCTGACCGACTGACCGACCGACACCGACACATAAAAAAGTATCGCTTTTCTCTTGGGGTTACCCTGTGGCCAAGCTGTTGTATATACCAACACCGCATTAATGCCTATAATCAAACGTAGAAGGGAAGGCGCTCCGTGGTCCACGCCATCACAATGGTCGTCAAACTACGGAAAGAAGGACGGGCCAGCGAAGGAGTACCACGACAATGGTCAGTTGCAATTTGAGGGAGCGTACAAGTACTGCAACAAGGACGGACCAGCAAAGGAGTACCACTACAATGGTCAGCTGTCGCTTGCGGGAGCGTACAAGGACGGCAAGATGGACGGGCCAGCAAAGGAGTATGACAATGGCAAGCTGACGTTTGAGGGAGTGTACAAGGACCACGAAAGATGGGAGGGATGGGGAACAGAGTATAGAAACCGTCGTCAGGGGAGGATTGAGGTTAAGGCAGTGTATAAGGTAGTGTATAAAGATGGAGAAGCAGTGAATGAATGGATGATTTGAAGAGGGAGGGGAGAGGGGAAGTATTGATTGACTTATGTATGTATGTATGAATGGACAAGCAATGAATGAATGAAGCGTTTATCAATTGACTACAATTACATATACACATTTGAGCTTGAAAGCAGAGTCAACACATAAACGCATCCACGCATAGGATTTGGTAAGCGATGGACTACTAAATAAATGAAACACATACATATATACGTCAGTACTGACCACAGGGTGAATCGATAATCACTCCCTCGTCAAAATGAAACACTTTTATTGGGGTTTCTGGGTGAAACCCTTAACCATATCAAACCCTCCAATACAAGGGATTTTTGATGCGAGCGAAGTGAGTATCAGAAATCCCTTGTATATGACTACTTCTGTGTCCCCTGCGTAGCAGCCTCTGCGCGATGCTGGCTTAGATCTTGCTGTATCTGACACTTTCCCTCTGCTTCGGAGGTCAGCCCGACGTATAGCGGAGCCAGCATTTGCATGAGAAGCCGCCTAAGGCACGTGTTGCTGTGTGTGCCTGCATGCAGGTTGCCTTGCGACTATCTCGCTCAACTTCCAGGAGTGGCTTCGGCTGGAGCTCCCCGACAGCGATGAATCGCCGGACCTGCAGAAGGCCGCCCTTGAGGTGCGCGCCCGCGGATGACAACAATGCAGTGCCGTGCTGTTTGGGCTCGAATCGCCGCTTATTCCTACCATGTGCCGATATGTTCTGCACAGGGCGATGTGGTGAGCGTCAAGCGATTGCTGGGCAAGGGAGAAGACCCCAATGAAGAGGACTTCCACGACATGACGCCGCTGATGTATGCCGCCTGTGCCAAGAACAACGCCACTGACGTGGCCAAGGTGCTGCTGCCCCTCACCACAGACATCGAGTAGAAGGGCGGTGACTGGCACAGGACGGCTCTGCACTTCGCGGCTGCTGCCGGCAACGCTGGTGTGGTCAAGATGCTGATTGAGGATGGCGGGGCGGATGTGCACACACGGACGGGAGATGGCATGACACCTCTTCACGAGGCTGTCGAGTTCGGCGATAACGTGGAGGTGGTGCGGCTACTCGTTGATAATGGTGTGCACGTCAGGGAGAGAAGGGAGGATGACACCATTATCGGCACTCACCATTGCGCCACATGTGTGCGCATATCGTGGTCAGGAGCGGACGTATCGGCGAGGAAATCCCAATGCGGAAAAACCACTCCTCTTCACCAGGCGGCAGAACACGTGAGTCACCGACCAATGAGAGAGGGAAACACACAGAGGCAGACAGGGGAGGCCCTCTATCACTTGGCTGCTGTCTCTCTCAGGGCCGCCCTACGTGCTTCGAGCTTCTCGTCGAGAGCGGGGCGGACATCAACGCCCTCACCGAAGATACCGGGGAGGCCTCTCTCGCCATTGCTGCCGACTGCGCGTGCGTGTACAGGCCGGGCCTGAGTGCTAAAGCCGGTGCTGACCCTCCTGATGTGGCCGAGTGCATGCCTCGCTACGAGCGCATCATCCGTTTTGCCCTTGCCAACGGCGCCGACGTGGACAACAAGAATCACGGGGGCCAGACCGCTCTACACGGCGCGGCCTTCAGGTGTGCGCATACACACTCACATTTACACTCACATGGCGCGGTTGACGGACAGACAGACAGACAGACAGCGCAGAGAGGGATTCACTTGGGACAGATGAATGCTTGGTCATTCAGGGGCAACTACAACATCGCGTCGATATTGCTGCAGGCGGGGGCCGACCCCACGATCGTTTCCACGCCACCCACGTCACCTCTCACAGCAGCCCAGTTAGCTGCCGTTTGGGTGAGGAACAAGGCAGAGACACGCGTGCACATATGGGCGCATGTGTCGGGCCCTTGGTTTCTCAGGGCCACACAAGCGTGGAGCGCCTCATCCGGTCATATAAGGCCAAGCCCACGAAAGCCCGTCAGGACCTCTGAGCGAGCTGCGGTGCGCTTGGCTGACCTGTCTTGACCCTAGGCCATGCAAGTGTGTCGGTGCTTTTTACCGTAGTCGACGCATTGTAGTGTATGTATATGTGTGTATGTGTGTGTGGAGAGGCGTATGAGACCTGTGAGATGCATGCCGATGGATGTGCGATCTTTCTTGCCGTTTTGTCGCACGTGGACGAAAGCAATCGAGACAGCCAGTGGTTTTTCGAGATCGACCACAAGGAAGTCCTTCTGTGTGCATATTATCCCTATTTGTATACCTTTGTGTGCGTACGTGATATCGGGTTGATCGATCCATGTAGCGCAATCCGTTGTATGTTGCCTGCCTTGGACGTGTGTGTGCTGTGTGGTGTGCGGCTGTGGTGATGTAGGGGTGTGGACACTCGATGATCATGTGTTGGTTGGTGGGACGGACAAGTGAGTCCGACTGAGTCGATGTATGTCTTCATTTGTCCAATGTGTGTATTGGTGAGAACATGTCTCACACACATGTCTCTCGACAGCATCTTCTTTGTTTGTCTGAATGCACCATGATCCGATGAAACGTGCTCACGAGGCGCGCGAAGGAGAGACACAGCCAACACATATAAGATGTAGGCAGCAGTTCACTCCCTCCTCCGGCGTGGGAACAGCAGTCTCAGCCAGGTCGACCTCACCGACGACCAGTTTCGACACGGGCAATGGTGCCCTGTCGTCGTCATCTTCGAGAGACCGCTTCCGTGCTGCAGACAGACACAGAGGAGGCAGGCAGGCAGGCAGGCAGAGAGACCGATGAGAAGGCAAATTAGTCACCCGCTTTGCTCACTTGTTTTCTGCCATCGTATAGGGTCCCTGTCGTCCCTGCCACACCTGCCGAAGACTTTCGCCACGCTGTCCGACTTGCGCGGTTTGCCGCTTCCCGGCTTAAGGATCAGCCTTATCTCGATGTGCCCGCGACTTGGTCTCGACCAGGTTGTACTCTTGGTTTCTCGCTGCATAGCGATACTCCAACGGGTCGTCCAAAGGGGGGGCGCCATCGCCCCACTTGTGACACGTTGTTGCGATGGATTTTGCACTCAGCAAACCACGAATCCCTGTACACACAGAATGGATACGTGTGGATGCCCCCATGTGTGTGCCTGACTGTATCTTCTGCATACATACACACCTGGCGTGCGACACGAGACATGGAGACGATCGATTGGACAGTGCGCACAGACAGCAGATATATAAAATGTAGGCAGCGATGCGATGCCTTGCTCGCCTCCGCTTCCCCCCCATTGTCGAGCGCATCGAACAGACAGTGAGACAGACGTGTGTGCATTCACTCGTAAACCCGGAAGAAAGACAGTGAGGCAGGCAGCCATGCATACCACGCACGCACCAGACAGAGAGTCAGAGCTACATACGACACACACGGCGTCGTCATCGTTATCGATCAGCCGAGCTTGGCGCGCTTCGATTGGTTATCTGCACACACACACGCACACACGCCAACCGACACAGAGGAGATACAGACGTGGTCGGTGGAGCGACCGACCGGCACAGCACACAGACGTGTGAACACCCATGCACACTTACCCTCGGAGTATTCCTAGATCTTCTTCTAGCGCTCTTCCTCGGTGGCCCGTGTGATATTGATCTGCACACACGGCAGGCAGGCAGGCAAGAGGCAGACAGGCAGACAGATGGATGGATGGATGGATGGACACACGTGTACTCGCTGCTGTATGTGTGGATGCGTGCGTACCGACGTCTTGTTGCCATCGGACCATGTGAGTTCCTTGCCCCACATGTTCGTCAGCAGCTCTATGACGTCCTCACGCTCGTGGCCGCGCACATGGTAGGTGGCTTTGATGAGGATCAGCTGCAGGCCGTCGTATGCCGACACGTTGATCTTATGCCAGAGGCGCTTGGACTTGAGCAATGCGCGAAACGGCTCCTGCAGAAAAGCCACACAAATCACACAATTAAACCACACGATAGTACATTGTGCGTGCACTGAGGTGCCTGTCTCGTGAATTCAAACGTACGACAAACTCCTCCGGGATGTCCACACCCCCACGTCAGCGCCTGTACACAAACAAACCACACACACAGACACACACACAGAGAGAGAGAGAGAGACATACATCGACATGCCTTAGCTGCGTTGAGTGAGCCTTACCCGCAGTCGCTTAAGCGTCTCCAGTTCCTGTCTGCAGTCTTCGCCCTTCTCCATGCGCATGTCAACCACCATGTTCTGCAGCCAGACACACACATAGTGGTCGTATGACCGTGTCTGTCTGTCCACTGCTATCTCCTGAATGCGGCAGTGAGTCTGGGACAGCAGATCTCGCGTGGCCTGCTTGAGGTTCTGACGCTGCATGGCGTCGCACAGCAGCTCGGCGTCCACCCACATGTGCACATCCCACTTGTGCCGGTCCAGGGGGTCCTGCACATACGGCTCGTGGGTCTCGGCCACGTGGGCGGCCTCCCAGCGGTTGTCCAACTCGTCCTCGATGTAGCCCCGCTGGTGCTTCCGCTCCCAGGCCCTCTTGTCAGGCTCTACACACACACACACACACCGATGGAAAGATAAATCGTTCCATCATATGGCTGTTTGCTCCGGTGTACACGACAAACATGTGCAGCTCATGATGTGGCGGATGGATTGCTGGCTGCGGTCCCTTTCCATCGGCCCACGTGAGCAGATCCCTCACTCTCTGCACCTCGACGTACTCGTGGCGCGACTCCAACACATTCATCACTGCACACAAACAAACCACACACACACACACACACACACACAGGGATTCCTTCATTTCCATGTGCTGGTACATGTGCTATCACGTCGCTGTGGTCTGCTTGCCTGTCTGTATCGTGCGCACGTTGCGCTTGGTGCGCATGGCCCTCTTGTTCAGCGCATCGAGCTCGGCCTCCGACGAGAAGCCGTCGTCAATGATGGCCGACAGCTCGGGCGGCGCGCCGCACAGGCCACCTCTGCTGCCAAACTTAAGGGATTGATGAACCAATACGCTTTCACGCTTGTTTTCCTCACTGTAGCGCTTAACGATATCATCAGCCCACTTCTCCCAGTTAGATTTGGCTTTCTCTGCTTTGGCTGTGAAGATAACGAAGGCCGGTATGCCGATGAGAATGGCGGCGAGTGCCACAGTCAGGGTCCTTTGGAGCCTTCCTGCGGGTGTTTCCTGAGAGCGACAACAGACAGACAGACACTGTCAGACAGACAGACAGACAGACAGACCATGTGACCTGTGGTACCCACTTACAGGCGTCACAGGATAAAGGATATGAGGGCCCCATTGTCCTCTTTCATGGCATAGAGCCATTCGACAAGTTGAACGTCTTCGCTGAGGCTGTATTCGGCCGCTTTCCATATCGAGCACTGTCTTGGCTCTCTCGCTTGTCCCGCTCCTGTCGCTTTCGCTCGGCACCATCAACAAGGTGTCATTTCGGCTGCTGGTTGCCGGCTGCTGGTTGCCGGCTGCTGGTTGCCTGCTGTTCGACGCCAGCCGCAGAGGGTCTCTCAACCAGTGGCTCCGGGGTCAGACGCTGTGAATGAAGAAAGAATGCGGAGCTGAAATATTGTGAGACGCTCTTTCACCTGACGAAGGGGAGCTTGACCATCACGGATTTCATCTGCCCACTTGCTACATTTCTTTGAAGAAAGGGCTCGAAGAAAGTCGGGGGGCCTGCCGTCTCGGATCGCGAATTCTCGACTAATTCTTGCCGGTGAGCGATGCGCGTCTGTGAGAGATCTCCTGCAGTGTTCGGTACGTGTGTCAGCTGGGTGATGCATACTTGAAGAATGGACAGTGATTCATTTATCCCTCTGATGCAGCCACCCTGGCAGCCTTCGATATATGGACATTCACCAGATGAGTTCGATTGCGTGCACTCATTGGAGTCAGAGTATGCCCCTCTCCTCCATCCCCCCTGCCTCCCTCTGTCAAGCTAGCTTGTACGCCTCGATCTCGTCTAGTTCAAAGTGGAGACCCAACTCAGACACAGGCAGATACCCGTTAGACTCCTCTCTCTCCCAGTCCGCCCAGCGGTCATCGCTCTTATGCACAGATGCCTGGCACCTCTTCAGCGACACGTCCGCCGCTGCTGCTGGGACCTCCTCGTCAGGTGCCGTGATGCCAATGTCGAAGTTGCCCGTGCCAAGAACGTACAGAAGGTCGGGCGCACGGATGTTGGTGAGGTCAGTCACGTGCAGCTTCTCCTGCAGCCCCGCCAGATGATAGATGCGCTCGTCGTCTCCGATGCAGCCCACGTGTGAGTGTGCGTCAGTGCCTGTCAGCTTGAAGTCGTAGGCCAAGCCGCACTGCATCTTCTTCTTTGGCCCCGTAAGGTCAATCTTGCCCTTGATGACGGTGCCGAAGAGCTCGCTGGTGCCCTTGACACGGAGAATCGGCAGCAGCAGCTCGTGGGCCTTGACCGCCTTCACGAGATCTCCGAAACGCCAACCATCTACAGTCGCCCTGACACACACAGACATAGACACAGACAGAGAGAGATGGAGAAAGAATAGTGCGCCACAGGGGGGTTGACATGACGTGTCAGCTCACTTGTATAGGCGCTCGACTGGCTCGCTAACGTATGAAGGGATGTTAGGGAAGTCGTTGCAGTCCGCACCCCAGGCTTTGATGTTTTGCAGGTGCTGTGCGGTGAGGAGACCGTCGGCCGGTCCGAAGAAGCGCTCAGCCTCGAGGCCGAACACGTCGAGGGCCCAGCGGAAGAGGGACAAGGGGGTGTCGCCCATGGCCTGCAGAACGTCAGCCGCCGTCATGTCCCTCCACTGCTGGTGGGCCCGCACGACGATGTCGACCACACGACGCACATCGTCCAACCCACACTGACTCAACGGATCATACCTTGGTGACAACACGCGTGCAGATGAGTGGGGTGATGGCCACAACCGCCCATCGGTTTTTGCGCCTACTTGGTGAATCGTGCGTAGAACGTGCTGTCGTCGCCGCCCAGCGACTTGGCCGCCGCTTGAGTCATAGTCACCCTACCGCCGAACTCTTCGTCTATCGACAACAACTGAAACAACACACCACCACACAGACGACGGCGGGATACACCACCCCATTACCCCTCACCCATCTCCCCTCCAGTGTGTTGGACCTGATCATCCTCTACGTCGCCCGTCTTGAGCATGGGCTTGATGGCGTCCAAACGGGCCATCTCGACCGCCTTCTCGCGAGAAAGTCGCTCCAACGTCGCCAGCAGGTTCTTCCCCATATCCACCACACCGTCACCGCTATCGTCATCGATGTCGTCCATCACGCCACCGTCCCCCGCACCGCCGGCCTTGGCTCGCCTGGTCGACGGGTTGTGCATCAGCCGCCCAAACCAGAAGCTGACGCACACAAATCGACACACATCCACGTAAAGCGCCGCTCCCCTCTGTGCTCTCCATTGTGTCAGTGCTTCTTCACCTGTATGCCCGGTCAGCTTTCTTCGAGACGGGCAGCGTGATGGCCGCGATCTCCCCCCATCGCTCGTAGTAGTGGAGCCGCTCAACCAGCCTGACATAAACCAAAACACGCGCACACACAGCGGCAGAACAGATGAGTCAACGACGTGTGCCGTCCCTCTCTCCCCTTCTGATTGCTTACATTCTGAACACAGGTGGGTACACGGGCAAGAAAATGCGATTCTCCGAGTCACGCACGAACGCCTTGTCGAAGCGGCCGTCGAACAGGGTGGCCATCACGGTGCCCTTGACCGCACAGAGGGCCGACCGCTTCACACGGCGAAGGCGCTCGCCACTCACATTGATGTCGAGCTTGTCGTCCATCCTGTCTGCCGGCAGCTGCGTGACGTCTGCAGTGCCGCCCAGGGCTGTGACCCTCTCGCTGATCTCTTTCTCGATTCTGTCGGCCTGTTCGATGATGACGGCCGCCTGCTGTCTGGCTGCGGCCAGCTGAGAAGCAATGCCGTCCTCATGGCCATCATCTGTGACAGACGGTGAGGACGGTGGAGGGCCCTGACGTTTGGTATCGTCGCTCGTCATTCTTCACTGTTTGTCGGTCGCAACAGCCTCAGCTACAGCCGCGCGGCTTATAACTGACGAGAGATTCGTCAGGAACTCATCCTTTCTCGCCGACGATCTGTGCGAGCTTGAGGCAAAAGAAAGGAAACAGACGGAGGTGAAGGGTTCAGATCTGAGGCCGTGCAGTATGTATCGGTACTCATCGTTTGCTCGCCTGCTGCAAGGCAGCTACGCCGGCCACCGCATGGCCCTCCGGACCTCTCTGTCCCGCCGCGTGCAGCTCCGTCCCATCAGATCTGATGCGTCCAGCCACGCATCGTCGCCGCCCTCATCGGCACCAGGCAGCTCTCCACCGAGTGGTGCTGGCCGGGCTCAGCAACGGGGGTTCACATCAGCGGCTGTAGCTGACAGCAGGTGCGATGATGAAACCAACCGACAGAGATCAGTGGCGTGAGGGTGTTGTACTTTCTCTGTTTGTTCGTTGTGCGAATGGTCTGGTTGTCAGTGTGGGTGGGAGGACGGCTGCTGGTGAGTCAGCGACTGCGTCGGAGGGCACCACTACTACCAGCAACAGCAGTGGAGGTTGGGGCGGGGGGTGGGTGAGGCCAGGCTTTGAGAAACCCGTCGGCTGGTGGCTTCTCGGTGAGGGAGGGAGTACACACACAGGCGCACAGACAACCATGGAATGGGCTGTGTCTGATGTGTGTGTTGAGCAGCATCGTCTGGTTGCGTATTTGGGATGGTGACGATAGGCGGCTACACGAGGCTCTCCAAATCGGGCCTCTCAATGACCGACTGGAAATTCGAGGTAGGATAAACAGCACTAACCAACGCTGCGTGTGGTGGCTGTGTGGCTGTTTACGTATTCGCTCCCGTGTGTGTGTGTGTGTGTGTAGGGGCGCCCGCTGCCGAGCACTGAAGACGAATGGAATGTGGAGTTCGACAAGTACAAGGTCGGTCGCCAATGAATGCTCCTGGGCGGCTCATGAACGGAGCCACAGTCGGTTGATTGCTGAAGTGTCGGTGTCGGTGTCTGTGTGCAGGTGACTCCCGAGTACACCCAGATCAACTACGGGATGACCCTGGACGAGTTCAAGTACATCTACTTTGTCGAGTGGTTCCACAGGTACACCAATACGATACTGCAGACATGGCTCCTGCTCTGCTGTGTCGTGTGTTGCGCTTTCCAGGATGGCTGGCCGCTTCACTGGTGTGGTGTTCGGCACCGGGCTCGCCTACTTCCTTCTCAGAGGGGCTCTCAGGCCACCACTGCTCATCAGGCTCGCAGGTAGGTGCCACAGAGAGGCGCAGAGAGAGAGAGAGAGAGAGCACAAGGGCACAACAGATGCGCGTGTGTGGGTTTGGTGCAGGTCTTTTCGCCTTTGGCGCGATGCAGGGCGGCATCGGCTGGTGGATGGTCAAGAGCGGGCTCACAGAGCCCACCACACAGCTCAAGACACCCAGGTATGGCCACCAGGACACACACAGAGGACAGATATTGTGGTGGATGGATTGACGAATGACTGCAGAGTATCGCCCTATCGGCTGGCAACCCACCTGACTATGGCCTTTGCGCTCTACGCCGGCTGCCTGTGGACCTCCCTGACCCTTCTGCGACCCCTCCCAGAGACGGTGCACCCCACACAGGCCATGGTGCAGGCGGCACGCCGGCTGCGGGGCTTCAGTGCGCCACTGGCCGCTCTGCTCGGCATCACGCTTGTGTCTGGTCAGCCCAACAGAGCCGATTGATGGATGGATGGATGTGGCAGAGATCTTCTTTCCTTCTGTTTGTTAGGTGCGTTTGTGGCCGGCAATGACGCGGGGCGTGCCTACAACACCTGGCCCAAAATGCTTGACGAGTGAGCTACGAGACAGAGAGACAGAGAGATAGAGAGAGACGTGCTGATTGTGTTTTTATGGGGGGGTGCAGCTGGGTGCCGCCCGAGGTGTTCGAGACGCTCCGCGGCGGGCTGATCCGCAATGTGTTTGAGAGCACGCCCGTGGTGCAGTTCGACCACAGGCTGCTCGCATACGCCACACTCGCATCGACGGCAGGTGGGTGGCAGACAGCGGCCCACAGCGACCAATGGCTGGATGACTCCATCGTCTCTCTTTGCTTGTTTGTGTCAGGGTTGTTCCTGACGGCGAGGAGCCTGCCTGTGTCACCAGCCGTCAAGGTATGTCCACACATGGAGAGGGAGATCGTGTGTTCTATCCTTTTGGTCTGTGCCGTCCGTGTGTGCAGTTTGCGGCGCACCTCCTCCCGGCCGCTGCTTTTGGACAGGTGAGTGGATGGGTGAGGGGAACCCATCCCACCTCACTATGCACTCACATCGTCCATTTGTCTCTCTCTCTCTCTGTGTGTGTGTGTGTGTGTGTGTGTAAACGGCTCAATCTCACCAGGTTTTGCTAGGCATCGCCACCCTGATGATGTATGTGCCGGTGGACCTCGGCGTCGCACACCAGGTGAGCAGACACGCACACGCACACCCTCGCCAGCAGACGAACAGAAAGACAGAGAGACAGAGAGAGAGAGAGCGAGAGAGAGAGAGACGGTGGCTGGTTTGCCTCCCCAGTGTGTGCCCATCCAAACATGTGGGGCCTTCCCATATCAGCCCAGAGAGACAGCCAGAGTGCTTGCAGAGAGAGGGAGGGCTGCCACTGTCAGCCAGCCAGCAAACCCCCCGCACCCTGCCGACACACATATAGCACACACACACCTCACTCTATCGTTCGTGTGTGTGTGTGTGTTTCATGCTGCAGGCTGGCGGCATGCTGCTCCTGTCTGCCTTAGTGCTGTACCTGCACACACTGCGGGTTCCCCTCCTGCCAGCGGTGGTGTGATGTGAAGGGGATGGTTCCATGTCTGCACCCACCGATGACAGATGACTGGCTCGCATTTTGTCGGCTCAAAGAGCGGCTCGTTCGTGTGTGTGTGTGTGTGTGAGACAAAGAGATTTGGCGTGCAGTGCAGTGCAGTGGGTTTGGTGCATGTGTGTGTGTGTGTGTGTGGTGATGTCACTCATTTATCCCGGGAGAGAGAGGGGTAGTGGGTGACTTTGTTACGTAGAGCACCATGTCACTTCTCATGACAGCAGCCATCGTCCGTCTAAGACACAGTCAAACGAGTCCGCACCGTTTCTGACCGCCATGCCCGTGTGCCTCTCCTGGCCTATGCCCGTTCCTGACCGTGTGCTGATGGCAAGACGGGTATGGGCAAGGCTGCGGCCACGCACCTGGATCGGTCAGAAAGGATACAGGCACACCCATCGGCATCTCTCCAGCCGGCCAGACACAGTCTGTCGAACCCCCCACACACACACTGCCCCATGCATAACATCACATCATCGTGCCGCAGGCTTGTGTATGGATCATGGCGCCTTGTCCGCTGACGTGCTGCTGGTCTGAAAGGAGAATCAGACCAGACGGGCATCAGCGGCCGAGGCACCATGATCCACACACGGCGCTCTGCGATAAACCATGGGTGAAAAGCACCCAGACGTCCATCGACCAACAGAGAATGACTGGCTGATTGTTGTCTGTCTGTCAGTCTGTCTGTCTGTCCCGCGGGGCTTCGGTGTGCACAACCATAGCACCTCCCCGTCAGTCATCCGATTCGACGCTCGGGTGAGCAAATCCGACCATTGAGTCGAATAGCTGCGAAAAGACACTCTGGCACACGCACAGGCCCGTGACAACATCACCATCCAGCACACATACAACTCGATATGTACAAGAAACAAGCAGAGAGTCAGTCATTCGTCCTTCCCGTTATCGGCAGAGAAGAAGGGCTCGTGGAGTGCCTTCATGAGCTGCCGCTGCTTCTTGTCCCCAATCCCGGGGCACTGGCTGAGGTCCTTGCCGTCGGCCGCCATGATGTCCTTGAGCGAACCGAACTGACCCATGAGTGTGTTGGCGTCGGTCTTGTTGACGGTGGGGATGGTGGTCAGCACCTCGGTCAGCCGGACGGCGTGGTCCGTCTCGAACCGGCCCTGCAGCAGATCAGCCGGCTTGTTCTCGTAGGACTTGAGGGTCACGAGATACCTGCACACACGCACACACACACACATGCGCGCACACACCACAGATGCTTACGGGTCTCGCCCTCTCTCTCTCTGTGTGTCGTGTTGTGTGGTGTGCACTGACTTGGCGCATTCCTCATTCCCCCAGGCGCACAGCATCGAGCACTGGTTGTGGTATGCGATGGTGGTGATGCCCTCCAGCGGCCCCGCGGGGTCGTCCAAGTCCACATTGCACAATATGGTGATCAGCCGGTACTTGTGGCTGTCCCGCAGCTGCTTCACACGCCCCCCCAGGTACTCGGGATGCAGCCGATGGTACCGCAGCCCGATGAACAGCACCGCATTGGCCTTGCCCACCAGGAAGTCGGGGACGATGTTGCCCATCTCCACCGGCACTCGGCCCCTGATGAGGCCGACCACGGGATTCTTGTCCTGCCGGGGGGCGACTATGACTGACTCGGACGCCTTCGGGTGGTACCACTCTGCAGGGCCAGACGCGGGAGGGGGAGCGGCAGGGCGGGCGGGAGCAGCACCGTTTTTGGCGACGGGAGGAGGGCGAGGTGGACCAGCGGCAGCAGCAGCAGCAGGGGGTGCGCTGTTCTTGGCTGCTGGCGGTGGCATCTTTGGTCTGGGTACGGGCCTGCCCGCCGGACGAGGGACGGGACGGGGCGGGCGAGGCACACCAGACATGCCTTTGTCAAGATGAGAACACCGTGCCGATGCGGGATGAACCGATTAGCCACGCAGTCGACACAGAGCTGTACATGCCGTCCCTCGTGTTTCCTTTCTCTCAAGCAAGCGAGCAAGCAGGCAGCGGTTTCATGCAGCACCCTAGCGCATCTTTGTTCCAAGCTCGCAAAAAGGCAGCTGCGAAAAAAGGCCTCCAAACCCCTGTGACATCAACTGAGCAAGCCAAGGCGGCTTATCGCACATCTACACTACAGGCAGCATGTCGATGGATCAGCTGATGGCGTTGGTATCGCTGGATGCCGCCCTCCCCAAGAAGACGACAGAGGAGGGACGGCGCACCCGCTGGGAGAGGAAGCGCGACAGCAGGGGCAAGGGCCGCTGGGGTGACCCTGAGGACGTCCCCTTCAAGCCGCCGCCTTTCCTCGACATCCCGCCTGGACTCACGCCCATGCAGGTCGACCAGTTCCTCCGCGAGCAGCGGCTGGAGGAGCTGGGCGAGAAGCTCAAGCGCGGGGAGATCGAGTGGGGCGATCCCGACATCAGACCGCCCTCCCCGCCGCCCACTTACGACGCCAAGGGCACCAGGACCAACACACGTGACGTCAGGTGAGCCGCTGGGGAGTGTCGCGTGTCGCGTGTGGTGTCTCATGTGTGTCTCGTTGTGTGTGGCGCTGTGTCTCTGTGGATGGTCTGGCCAACAGGGTGAAGCAGTCGATGAGCAACGAGCACAATCGTTTGGTTGAGTTTATGATCAAGAACGTGGAGGGGTTCGCGGCGCCGATTGACTTCAAGCCGCAGAAGAAGGTCAAGAAGATCATGATACCTCACGACAAGGTATGTGCGCATCCGTGTGTGTGAGAGAGATAATCGAGAGACACCCACTGCCACATCCATGGGTGCATCTGGTCTGTCTGTGTGTGTTTCTTTGTATGTGTGCATGTGTGTGTCAGTTTCCCGAGTACAACTTCATGGGTCTGATCATCGGCCCGCGGGGGTGCAACCACAAGCGGCTCGAGGCCGAGAGCGGCGCCAACATTTCAATCCGCGGCAAGGGCACACAGGTACCTGTCAATGATACGCGACGTCAGCCAGACCCACACAGACAGACATACAGAGCGTGTGTGACCGTGCGGTGTGTTGTGTTGTGTGTGTGCAGAAAGAGGGCAAGCGCCAGGACTACCAGACCGACGAGGAGGCCCAGATGCCCATGCACGTCCACATCGCAGCCGACACCGAAGAGAAACTCGACGTACGTGACGTGTGCAGCAGACAGACACCGAACACGCAAAACACAGACAGACACACCAGCATGCCCACCCTCTCCCTGTCTCTCTTTGTGTGTTTGTCGTGTGTAGAAGGCAGTGTCGTTGATCGAGCCGTTGCTGGATCCGTCCCACCAGCTGCACGAGGAGTTCAAGAAGAAGGGCATGGAGCAGCTGGCACTCGTGAACGGGCTCAACTTCGGCCTCGCCACCAACGAGGTCCGCTGCTCCGTCTGCCAGGCCATCGGGCACCTCGGTAACCACACACACGCACACACACAGGGGGGGAGGGGAATGTTTCTCATGTGTGTTTGTGTGTGTGTGTTGGTTGTGCAGCATTTGAGTGTCCCGAGGCACAGCAGATGCAGACTTTCAAGAAGCCTGAAGTGGTGAGATAACGACACACAGGCGCAATCCCTGGTGCCCCCCATCTCACCACCTTCCATGTGGCTGTCCTGTCCTGTGTGTTCATTCAGCGGTGCACCATCTGTGGCGACCTCGGTCACGTGACGATGGACTGCAAGTACTACACCCCAGGCGCCTCGCTCGTCGACATGATGAAGGCCGCAGAGGAGGACGGCGTCGACGTCTCCGACGCCCGCGCAGCCGCAGAGGCCAACCCTGCAAGCGCCACCCTCCCCACTGTCCCAGGAATGGGCGCCGTCGTCCCGGGCCTCACCCAGCCGCCCCCGCCCCCAGGGGCCGCCAGCAATCCCTATGAAAAATGGAAGATGGACCAGGAGTATCGCAAGATGATGTCGGAGATATCGGGCAAGCCCTTGCTGGATGACCTCGACCCGCCACCGCCCGCACGGGCGTCGGAAGATGCCAAGATGGCCGAGGCGACGAAAGCTGCGGCCACGCCGGGGGCGGAGCAGCTGCGTCCGAGGATGGGCATGGCTGGGCTGGCCAATATGGTCCCTCGACCAGGTGAGAAACAGAGCAAACAAGGGCGAGTGGGAGGGAGGGAGGGATGTCTCTTCATGTGAATCGTGTGTGCCTTATGTGTGTGGTTGTTGCAGGTTTCCCCGTTCCTCCGATCGGTCCGGGAATGCTGCCTGCGCCAGGGATGCCGGGCATGGGCATGCCCTTCCCGCCCTTCGGCTTCCCGCCATTCATGCCCTTCCCAATGGCACCATCGATGGCCGTCCCGCCACAGCCACAACCACAACCAGCCGTCCCACAAGCCTCCCCCGCCCCCACCCCTGCTGCTGCTGGTTCTGCAGACGTCACCATGCAGGACGCAACGGCCCCTGCCCCATCCCCCGGGTCATCCGATGCGCCCCCATTGCCCTCTGAGAGCGAGGCGCCCCCTCCCCCGAGCGACGACAGCGCCCCGCCCCCTCCCCCACTCCCCGCTGAGCCGGCCCCACCGCCACCAAGTCAGCCGCAGTGGGGTGGTGTCGGTGGGATGGGCTTCATGGGTTTTGATCCGACGGCCATGGGCATGGGGATGGGGATGCCGTTCGCCCCACATATGGCGATGCCCATGATGCACCAGCAGCCATTCCCCGGTGGTCAGCAGCAGCCACAGCAGCAGCAGCCGTGAGGGCGTGACTGTGACTGTGATGTTTTCAGACAGACAGACGGAGAGAGAGATGTCCCATCTTATTTGTTTGTGGTGCGCTGCATTTCATGACTGACTGAGAGTGAGACAATCAATGGGGAATGAAGGGTCTTTTTCGTTGACTGTGAGTGTGACATGCCGATGGCAGCCGCCTGGTGCTTTGAAACTTCGTCTTCCTCGGTCATCTTGTACCTCTGGAGCCATCCAACATGGCTGCAGAGGTCGCAGATGGTCGAGGAGCTCGACGTTCAGAGCACAGGGGGCTCTCACGGCTGCATGGGATTGTCTATCGTGTATCCCACTGGGTCGTGCATCCTGTGCGAGTTGGGCCGTGCTCAGCCGGTTATCACTATGATTCACTCGCGAGTGGCAGTGTCGGTTTCTCTTGGGTTCCTCTCTGCGCATCTGCTCATGGCAGATGTGAAGCTCGTCTGCTTTTGAGGGGATGGCGAGGAGCGGGTCCAAGAGGGCTGACAGGCTGCTCGTGTGCAACGACCATTGTGTGTCAGCTAGCTGTTGTGTGATTGATGTGTAGGTGTGACTACGCGGACACAACTGAATGCGAATATCTCGGGCGTCATGCATCCGTTGACACGAGCGCATGTCTCCACAGGAAGGGATGGATGAAGCAGTCGTCTCTCACACACATACACGCAGAGCGTCAATTATGGACACAGCGGGGAGGCAGGGAGGCAGCAGGGGCTGCACATACACATGACACACACGTGTCGGCCGATCGGTCTCATTTGTCCTTGTCCGGCATCCTGACGTCCGGCGACGGCTCGGCCGACTGCGTCACGTAATCCACCGCATCGGGCGCAGGACTCTGACCTGGTCCATAATGGGGGATGAAGGAAACGCACACACACACAGATACACACGAGACGGGATGGTTCCTCTCTACATCACACACACACTCACTGGGAATGATCTGGGCGCCCACCGGGCTGACTTTGTTGCGAAAATTCTCGGTGATCTGCTGACTGCACACACACACACACACACACACAGAGAGAGAGAGAGAGAGGGGCCTGTGTCTGTGCGATGGGTCAGCGTGTGTCAGCGTGTGTGTGTGGGTACACGACAGAGTTGCAGTATCTGTCGTCGTTGAGGTTCTCCATGTTGGACGTCCGCACGGTGAGCGAATAGTCCGGACCGAAGTACTCGTAATACTTGGACTGAGGCAGCTCTGCACACACACACACACACATGCACAGAGACACATGAGTGCCTCCCCCTCTGTCCCTCGCGCCCTCCCTCCCTCTCCCCCTGTGTGTGTCTGTCTGCCGCCGACCCACTGACCGTCTTCAAGCGTGGTGCCAAGGACGGTTGCCGTCTCGTGCGCCCAGCACTTGGGCACATTGCGGAGGGTGTAGCCGCCGCCCCCCAGCAGCAGCAAAGGCACGTTCCACTTCTTCATGTAGTCGACAGCGTACCCGTGGCCCTTGAGCGACAGGTTGAAGCACCCTAACCTGTCCCCGCTCAGCGAATCGGCACCGCACTGACCATTCACACACACAGAGAGAGAAAGAGAGAGAAAGAGAGACGGCACGAGTGGCACCGGCGATGTGTGTGTGTGGTGTGCTTGTGTGGTTTCCTGCCTGGAGGACGACGGCTTCCGGCTGATACCGCTCCTTGACCAATGTCATGACCTGAGAGAGGGACGGATGGCGGCCAGCACACACACACACACACACACACAGAGAGATGCAATCAACGCCTGACGCACCAAGTGGGCGCACACGCACCTGTGTGAACAGCTTGATGAAGGTGTCGTCATCCACGCCGTCGCGAAGCGGCACGTTCACCGAGTAGCCGTGGCCAGGCCCCTCCCCGATATCCTAACACACACCACACACCCACAGAAACACACACACATCCATCCGTCCATCTGACGTGTGTGTGCGTGTGCCCACGCACCGCGAGGGCGCCTGTGCCCGGGAAGTAGTCTCCGTATTTGTGGAAGGAGACGCACATGCCCCTGTCGGAGCAGTAGAAGGCCTCCTCGACGCCATCGCCGTGGTGGATGTCGATGTCGACATAGACCACCCGGTGGTGGTACTTGAGGAACTCCAACGCCGCCAACACGCAGTCGTTGACGTAACAAAACCCTAGAGAGAGAGAGAGACAGACAGACAGACAGAGAAGTGGGCCTCGTGTGTGAGCGGTGGTGTGGAGGGGGGGGGGGGGGA